AAGGGCACCCGCATCAAGCTCTGCCCTTGATTAGCCTGCCACCCGCGGGGGCCCCTCTGGTCCGCACTGGGGGGGCGGGTGGTGGTGGATGGTGGCCCGTAAGTTGGGGAGCTCCAGGGCTCCTCCCTCTGTTTGTTACTGTGTTGCTTCCTGCTCCCTCTTGGCCCCTGCTTCTCCCTATAGGAGCCTAAAGAACCCTCCTGGCTTCCAGCTCAGCCTTCTCTCACCTACTGTCTGTCCAACAGGTCTGCATGGGTCCCCTTGATAATGAGAACAGCTGCCTGATTTTTTTCCCTCCCTTCCTGTCTGCCTAGCCCAGTTCAGCCCTGGGGTCAGAGTTTGAGTAGGGGATGTGGGGAAGAGTAATTTTCATTCCTTTTTTTCCCCCCCCAACCACCCCTACTCTTCAACTTTTGTCATTTCTGAGACTGGAGGGTGTGGACAGGACGTAACAAAGAATCATTCCATTTTCTGGTGCAAATTTTAGCTAAAGGATTTGGAAATTGTGGGGAGGCAGGCTGGGCAAAAGGGTAGAGCTGGGTAAAGAAATGTCTACTCTTCCGGGATAGGAGGAATTCTAAACCTTCCTTCCATCCCCGATTTCTACCTCCATAGACTGGCCAGAACTTAGCTTCAGTGAGAGATCTGGGATGGTCGACATGACTGAAACTACATACCATTACATCACCCAATAAGTTATTTTCCCCCTTCCTATTTCTGGCAATGTAGGAGCCAAGCTCGGCCCACCCTATCCTCAAGGTCTGTTCACTGCCAGGCTCCTCCCCTCCTTTGTCCGGTGAAGTTGCTTTTGTCAGTTTCCAGCTTCTCCCCATGCCTTTTAGTTCCTCCATTTGGTAAACCCAGATGGGGAGTCTGGGGATAAGGACAGGGGTTGGGTCCCCTGAGAAGAGCTTTGGGTATAATCTATTTTTCTAGTAGCCCCTTGCCTTCTGTCGTTTATCAGCTTTTGTCCTCTGCTTTGGTGCCTGAGGTCAGTTCATGTTCTTGGGGGTTAAAAAAAGGGAAGGTGGGTTGTGTTGCAGAAATAAAATGTTTATTTGCTTCTTTTGTGGAGCCCCATGTCTTTAGATGAGCAGAAACAGGCTGAGAGTGGATGACTGCTTAAAGTGACTTCCTCAGCCACAGCATCACTTCCTGCTTGAGGAGGGACTATCTTAGGACCTTACTCTTCACCTGCCACTCATTTGAAGTTAGGGTAGGCCTGAAGTCTGCAACACTTCAGTGACTCACAAGCCTGAGTCTCCAGGAGTCTGCTATTAAGCCGTACTTGGACGTTAGAGGAATGGTACAAATTTTAGGGTGCCCATTTAGCCAGAATTAAGCTCAGGATTGCCGCTCAACTGTACAGGCACCAAAAATGTTGGGACCTTCCTATGTCCACAAAAACTAGTTATGGTAGCATATAAAAATATCACCTTGCAGTGACTCCCACCATGCATTCATCTCAATTGTGAATTGATCAGAAGGGTTGTGTGGAACTAGCCAGCTGGTTTTTTTTTTTGGGGGGGGGGGGGGGTCCGGTCCAGTCGTGGGGCCTGAGCGCTGTCCCTCAGCTCTTCAGTTCAAGGCTAGCACTCTACCACTTGAGCCAGTGTCACTTTTGGCTTTTTTTCTTCTTTGCTTATGTGGTGCTGAGGAATCGAACCCAGGGCCTCGTATATGCAAGGCAAGCACTCTACCATTGAGCCACCTTCCCAGCCCAACCAGCTGTTTTTTTTTTAAGCCTGAGGTTCGTCAGGCCAGAGGAAAATTAAGACTTAAGTCTAGCTTTTACCCCATCCCCAATTTATAAGTGGGAGAGGGTCCTAATGCTTGAATGGTACAGTGAGGGAATTATGAAACTCTTTTGAAGCTCTGGATGAGGTGTGACTCCTTTGTAGACAATGGACAGGCTTGCACACAGCGTCCTAGAATCCCCCAGACTTAAGGTAGGCCTGGATCATCTCACGATGGTGACATGACATTTAACCATTGCTCCATAAAATCTGGCAACAAGGTTTATGCAGCTTAGAAGCTTGTAAGCTTATAAGCACTTATAAGCTTATAAGTACTGTAAATGAGTTCTTAACTGATAGCAAATGGTTTGGGGTCCTTCATTTTGCTTAGGAGATAAAAGACTGAAGCCAGTTTTAGAAAGCCAGTTTATTTTTAACACTCTGTCATAGTTTCTAGCGGGTGCCGATGGTCACCTGCCATACCCGCACCAGGTTGTCAGTATAACCAGCAAACAGAGTCTGTAAAGGAGAGACAATGGCAAAAGTTCAAGTCAGTCAAACTAGTACCAGGCAAGGTGCCTTAGGGCCCCTCTAACAGTGTAGGGGATTCTGACTCCCAGAAGAACGGCTGGTTAACTAAAGGTTAGCGATCGCTCCCCTCTAGAAACTAATCCCAAGTTACTGACCTGGCTGACCTTTGCGGCCTACCTGGCTTGAGTCCTGAGAACAGGTCCACTTACCTGGCCATCAGCCGACCAGGCCAATGAGGTGCACTGGGGTGGCTCTGCCTTGCTGCTGGTGCTGATAACTTCTTGTTTGAGTTCATCTACAATGATCTTGCCTTCTAAGTCCTGAGAATAGGTCAAAAACTACAATTAGCATTGCATTTCTATATTGCTAACCCTAGAGTGCTTCTTGCTAAAATGCCGTTATTAGCTCATTTTTGAGAGGATTTTGCTCTCTAGGAGACAAGTAACAAGAGACCAGAAGAGGAACGAGGCTGATGTTGAACAAGCACAGTCATCCCTTTTAGTAGGCAAATGTCCCACTGTCATTCTAACTACTGCCACAAGGGATCAATGACGGCCAACAGTGCTCTAGTGGTGTCCAGCCAGGTGCTCAGTCAGTAACATAGCCCATACATACCCAAATCTTGATGCTGGGGCCTGTGGCAGCGCAGAGCCAGTAGCGGTTGGGGCTGAAGCACAGGGCATTGATGATGTCCCCACCATCTAGTGTATAAAGGTGCTTGCCTTCATTGAGATCCCATAACATGGCCTGGCCGTCCTGAGCAGACAGGAGAGAGTGAAGTGAGGACAAGGTGATTTCTTCCACAAGTCCACCAATTATCTCCCCCCAATACACTGGGTTTCTTGGAAGCCAGTGACTAATATACTCACTTATTATCAAAGCTTTTATGTGCCGCACCCAACAAAAAAACATTAAGAAGTAGACCAGGTAAGTATGTGGCACTATACCTACTGGACCAGCTATCTGGCCAAAACAGCTGAATAAGTCAATTAGTAATCCTGAAGTCAACCACAGCATACCTCCCAAACCTTATATGCAAAAACCCCACAGGATTTTGGTTAGGAACCTGTGGCTTACATCTTACACATCCCTAGCTACTCAGGATGCTGAGATCAGAGAATTTGGTTCCAAGCCAGCCCTGGCAAACAAATCTGAAAACTCATTCCAAATAATCAGTGAAAAGCCAAGACGGAGGTGTGGCTCAAGTGGTAGAGCGCTAGAACTAAGCAAAAGGGCTGCATTCAATCCCCAGTACTGACATAAAATCACCGGACTAATTTTTTCTGTTGCTTTAAACCAAGTTTGCATAAGACACTGTGTACCTTGTAAAGCTTAGGTGATGAGAGTACTAGCTTGGTTAATACAGACTGTGTTCAATCTTCAGTACCACCAAACAAAACAAAATGATGCTTAGTTGTCCCAACAACTTGTCTTAAGCCAGACACTGTTCTTTCTACAGTTATTCCCCACTGAGATGCTTAGCCAAATACCTTGCCTCCTGAGGCACAGAGAGAACCATCCGGAGAGACAGTCACCGTGTTCAGATAGCCTGTGTGGCCAATGTGATTGGTCTTCAGCTTACAGTTAGCCAAATTCCATACCTATGAAGATAAGAGGACTATAGGTGAGAAACTCACCTCTGAACTGGGCAGGATTAGAGTCTTAAGTCTGCAATAATGAAGTTGCAACAGCTGTTATAAAAACTCCTGAGCTGGATGTGGCACATGTCTATTAAACCCCAGTATCCACAAGGCTAAGCAAAAGGATTAATTTGAGGCCAGCCTAAGCTAAGATAGCAAATTATCTGCTAATAACAAAGAACTTGGTCATCTAAGGTTAAATACAGGCACCAAAGACTGCAGTGGAGATGTGGCTCACACTTGAAAATCAAGCTACTCAGGAGGCTGAGATCGAGAACTGAAGTCAGCCTATGCTGGAAAGCTGGAGACTCTATAAACTCAAAACTAATCAGTAAAACAAAACTGGAATAAAACAGACGTTAAAATGCCATGAGATAATTACAAGGCACATCAATGAACTACTTTAGATCAAATGTCAAATGACTAGTACAGGGAAAATAGCAAGAAAAATGGTCAGCTGAAGTCTAATTATCCAGAGTTGGAGCCCTGACCATCTGAGGGGTGATGGAAACACTTTGGCAATCAGCCCTACCATACCCTTGCCTGGAGAGCTTACCTTCACCAGCTTGTCCCAGCCACAAGACACGATGATAGGGTTGCTGCTGTTGGGTGAAAACCGGACACAGGAAACCCACTCAGAGTGACTCTCATCCTACAAAGATATGAAAAGAAACAGTTCTGATCCTTCTTCCCAGGTCCCTGTTCCACCTGCAGTATTGAATTCAGAATGAACCCTACCTAACCTTAAGCCCCAACAGAATCGACCTAGAAACACCATGTAAAGTCAAAGTGAAAAGTGCCACTGCCATTAAGTTACCTGGACTGTGTATTTGCAGACACCCAGAGTATTCCATAACTTGATAGTTTTGTCTCGGGATCCAGAGACAATCTGCCGGTTGTCAGAGGAGAAGGCCACGCTCAGCACATCCTTGGTATGGCCTACGAATCGTCTTGTGGTGGTGCCCCTGAAAGGAAGAATTTGGTCACAATTATAGACTTCCTTCTCACCGCTTTTTGACCCTGTCCTTGCCCCAGGAGTCTACAACACACAACCCTGGGCCACAGGAAGCCTTTGGCTGATTATGTGCCAGAGAATCCACTCAGAATTGCAGGACATGTCCTCATTCCCTTCTGGGGTTTGGCTGACAATGTCTTCTGTCATCACCAGGATCCTCTATTATCTTTACTTGACCATACTGGAAAAAATACCCAACTACACCAATCCTTAAAGGTGGGTGTTACACACATCTGTCATCCCAGGAGGATGAGATTTGGGGCTGGCAATGGAAGCCAATCCAGGCGGGAAGTCCTTAAGATACAAATCTATTAACAAGCAAAAACCTGGGATGGAGGTGAAGTTCAAGACCCTAACTTCAAGCCACAGCACCAAAAACAATCTTCACTAGCTAAATGAACTAGGTTAAGCTGAAACTTTCTGTGGGTGGTCCCCACTTCACCTTCCATACAGGGCCCAGATTTCCCCAGGGAACTCCCCTCCCATGGCCTCTACCTCATTTCTGCCCAGCCTTTCCCTAAGCCCCAGAGTAGCTACTTGCGTTGTGAGATCCCACAGGCGTAGGGTTCCATCCCAGGAGCCTGAGAGGGCAAACTGGCCATCGGAGGAGATGACTACATCACTGACAAAGTGGGAGTGACCCCTCAGAGCACGCTGCGGGATGCCATAGTTGGTCTCATCCCTGGTCAGCTTCCACATGATGATGGTCTTGTCTGAAAGGGGAGATTAAAAAAATCCAAGTTATCTATTAATCCGAGACTCTTAACCGCATCGATCCAGCAAAAAGCAACAAGTGGAGCTTTAGCTCGTGTCATGAAGCTCCAGCCTGAGCTAGAAAGCTAAGGAAGTGTTCAATCCGTGGTAATAGCAAAAAAGAAAAAGCCCACAGCGACATAACCTGTGTGAAAGATTTCTTTATGGACTAAACAAGTAGATGCTCAAAAATGTGTCCCACTCCACAAATTTGACGATTTTGTGTTTAAGTACGAGTCTATATTTATTTCAAAGCGAAAAGGCGCCAGAAGCCTCTCAACGCCATCAGGTACAAGGGAGAGAGCTCGTGGTAGGAAGGGCCGGAGGTGTGCTTCACATGGCCCCTCCAGAGACCACCCGCTCCTTCCCCGGGCCCAGGACCAGGCGGTAGCTCAGAAACAGCCTCTGGATTTCAGCACCGGCACTCAGATGGCATGTTGGAGTCATCACCGCTCTGCCCGGTCTGCAGACCCCCGCCTAGCCTTAACCGCACCTCGGGAGGTGGCTGGGACGACTCAAGTCTCCCACGAAGTCTCCCTGTCCTCCTCCGGCTGGTGGGCCCGGACTAAGGCGCAGGCTCAGACCTGCCCGCTCCAATTCCTACCCAGGCAGAGGTAACTGGCAGTCCCTGCCTCCAGCCCGCACTCATCCCGTACCTCGAGAGGCCGACAGTATCATGTCGGGGAACTGCGGGGTGGTGGCGATCTGAGTCACCCAGCCATTGTGGCCCTTAAGGGTGCCACGGAGGGTCATCTGTTCAGTCATGACGGCGGCGGGCGCGGGGGTCGCCGCAGCGACGAGGATGGCACCGGATAGTTCCGAGAGACCGAGACCACAGCCGCTCCCTCCGCGGCTCTGCCGAGAAAAAGAGCGAGCAGCCCTCACCGGAACCGGAAATACTCTCCCGCCCGGGCAAGATGGCGGCCCCCATGACTCCTTACTCAAGATGGCGGCGCCATGTCAGTGAAAGGGGCCGGGCGAACATCGCGTATTCGGCCAGTCAGCCTAAGGCGGGAGCACCTCAAAACGTACCCTGAAGCTAGCACTTCTAGAAACATCATTCAAGCGATGCTTGGAGCGTGACGTAAGAGTGAGGCGAGGTGCAAGCAGCCACTCGTGCCCCCCCGGGCGGGGCGAGGCGAGCCGGAGCCCCGCCCCTTCCGCTCCTAGCCCCGCCCCTTCCTCCGGGCGCCGCGGCGAGGTTCCGCGCGGGGCTGCCGGCTTTCCCCTCGAGGCCGGGCGCTGGCCCGCGGCCCCAGAACGCTAGGGGGCGGGAGGAGCGCGAGCTAAGGCCAGTCTAAGCTGTACGTGTTGAGACCCCGCCTTCAGAACGAAACGAGAAAGATGTCCGCGCGGACTGCCAAGCAGAGGGCCAGGAGCGGGGGGGAGACGCGTCCTCCGGAGCCGTCCGGAAGGACTCGAGGCCGGGCGCGGCCCCGGCCCCCGGCGCTGCCGTCCGATCTCCCCGCCGAGCCTCGCCGGCGGGGCGTCGGGCGGGCTCCGAAAGGCCTGGGACGGACCAGCGGCCCCCGCCGCCGGCCGCGCCCCGAGGACGGCGCCCGCGGTCCCAGGACGCTTCGCCAGACGGCGGCGTTGGGGACCAAACTCGGGGCGCTGTGCTTGCGGGGCCGGCGCCGGGCCTCTGAGCCACCTCCCAGCCCCTCAGCTCCACTCTCCGTGTGCGCATGCGTTAAGCCGCCGCCCCACTTCCGGATGCCCGGCTTTAACCTAGCCCGGGCTTTGGCGAGCCCTTCTCTGTTCTCGCGGTATCTAGGGAGGGGGCGGGGTCCAGCGTAGGTCCCGCCTTCTCGGGCCGGAGCTACGGCGAACGCCGAGGCCCAGTCCGCGGCGCGCGTTCGTGCGCGCCCGGCGCTAGGTCCCGTCCTCCTCGCCTGAGGGAGCGAGCGGGCAGTCGGGCCGCGTCGGGTGTGCTCGAAACCCAGCCCCGAAGTCCCACAGCGAGGCGCGTAGTTCCGGGTTGAGACGGGTGGCGTCGCCTCCTCACCCGACCCCGTCCAGCGCGGCGCCTGGGGCCAGGAGAGGAAGATGGCGGCCTCCGTGCTAGGCGAGTTGGGCGAGGCTTTCCCCGGGGTGGAGGGGGGACGGGACGGGGGGTCTGAGGTCACCGGTGTGCGTGTTACAGGTGCTGCGTGGATACAGAACCTGAGGAGCCGAGGGATGCGGGCCTTGGGGTGAGTGCCCCCCCCCCCACTCCCGGGGCGAACCCGGCCGGGCTTCGGGGTCACAGGTCAACCAGACCCGCGTCTGCTTTGTCACGGTTTTCTCACCAGTGCATTGCAGGGCCTTGCAGGGGTCTCTGTTATGCAGCACACTGCCCAGGGCTGGAGTGTGTGTGTGTGTGTGTGTGTGTGTGTGTGATTATGCATCACACCGCCCAGGGCTGGAGTGTGTGTGTGTGTGTGATTATGCATCACACCGCCCAGGGCTGGCGTGTGTGTGTGTGTGTGTGTGTGTGTGATTATGCATCACACCGCCCAGGGCTGGAGTGTGTGTGTGTGTGATTATGCATCACACCGCCCAGGGCTGGCGTGTGTGTGTGTGTGTGTGTGTGTGTGTGTGTGTGTGTGATTATGCATCACACCGCCCAGGGCTGGCGTGTGTGTGTGTGTGTGTGTGTGTGTGTGTGTGTGTGTGATTATGCATCACACCGCCCAGGGCTGGAGTGTGTGTGTGTGTGATTATGCATCACACCGCCCAGGGCTGGCGTGTGTGTGTGTGTGTGTGTGTGTGTGTGTGTGATTATGCATCACACCCCCCAGGGCTGGAGTGTGTGTGTGTGTGTGTGTGATTATGCATCAGTGTGTGTGTGTGTGTGTGATTATATGTCACACTCCCCAGGTCTGGAGAGTGTGTGTGTGTGTGTGTGAGATTATGCATCACACTCCCAAGGGCTGGAGTGTGTGTGTGTGTGTGTGTGTGTGTGTGTGTGTGTTGGAGATGAGAGTCTTGCTATGTTGCCCAGGCTGGCATTGAACTTGCCATCCTCCCGCCAACTAGTGTCGGGATTACAGATTTGCCCCACCACACCCGCTTTGTACAGTCCTCTCTGACCCTTCTGAACGTGATTGGATTCTTACTGCCATACAGGTGCGAAAAACTTTTCTAGTTAACGCTGTGGTTTCGCAAGTGTGCTGGCAGGTTACGCATTGTCCACATCGTGGTTACCATCCTGCTTACAGATGTTGTCCACTTCTGATGTCTGAAGTAGTAGGCATTGCTATCCTCATTTTTTTTTTTCCAAATTGAAGCCCTCAAAATACAGCATGACTTGGTTCGAGGCCAGTTTCCTACTCTACCTTACAGAGCATTGGGTTAGCCGCCACAAGATGAATTCTTTCAGGGTTGGAGATACTGTTGGGTTAGGGCTGGCAAGGAACCTTCCCTCTTCTCTTCGTTCCTTGTCTACAGTTCATATTGGTATTTGGAGATTGATTATCTGGTACTCTCCCCACCCCCATACTGAGGTTTTAACTCTGGGCCTTGTACTTGCTCAGGTTGTGCTCTATCACTTGAGCCATGCCACCAACCTGACATTTTGTTGTTGTTTTTACTAGCTAACTGGAGTAGGAATTGCTCAGACTCTTTTTTTGCCTAGGTTGGCTGTAGCCAAAATCATCCAGTTCTCAGCCTTTGGAGTAGCTAGAAATACAAGCTTGAGCCATCAACCAGTGCCAGGCTTTACACGGTACTGGAATAAGACAAAGGGTGTTGGATTTAGTGTCAGGTCGCTTAGCATCTGTATTCTCACCTAAACGGTCATCTGAAGTCACCTCCAAAATCCTCTACTGTTTTCTGTACTTTAGTTATGTGTGTGTGTGTTTTGTTTTTTTTTGGGTCCGGTCGTGGGCCTGAACTCTGGGCCTGGGCACTGTCCCTCAGCTCTTCAGCTCAAGGCTAGCGCTCTAACACTTGAGCCACAGCGCCACTTCCGGCTTTTTTCTTTTTGCTTATGTGGTGCTGAGGAATCGAACCCAGGGCCTCATGCATGCAAGGCAAGCACTCTACCACTGAGCCATCTTCCAGCCCACTGTGTGATTTTTTTATATTGACCTCCAGTTGTTTTATGTATTTGTCAGGCTTATTCAGAGAAGTTGGGCAATGCTACCGGTTAGGCCAGGGATTCATTACTTTAAAGTCTTTATAGAACATAGCTGACTTACAGTAGAAAGGTTTAAAGGTCTATGTATTGCAAGAAAAGAACAGTGTATCTATATTAAAGTGTATAGTAGTAGAAAGTCATATGTTTGATTCCTTGAATTTTTTTTGGGGGGGAAGGGGCCGTACTGGGCTTGAACTCAGGGTGTCTTGCTAAACCAGGCATTGGTTCTACCACTGGAATCATACCTCCAGCCCTGAAAATCATATATTTGAACACTGGTTTAAGTCATTCTTTCCAGTTTGTCATGCTTCATTATCAAGAACTTACTAGCAAGCCTGTGGAGCCAAAACTAACATGTTTCAGACTGTTTAACTTAGTTTTAAAGTTAAGGCTTCTTACCAGGATGCTAAGTAAAGCTTAATATACACATTGACCTGCTAGGGCAAAGAATCTTGGGTTAATATCTATTTGCCACCAGACACACAGGAGCCATTCACTTTCCATTCTTAACTCCCAGTAAACTGGCTCTTCCTGGTATTTTGGATAAAGGTAGTCTCTGAATGAATACTTCAAGGCTATTCCTTCGTGATTCTCACATTGTTTCCATCAAAATGGAGCTAGTACATACACGGCAAACAGGTTTTCCATTTCTGCTATTCCACAGGCTAATGTCACCTCAGAGTGCAGGTCTGCAGTCATGTATCCACACAAGTGCTTCTCTTGGCATTTACCGGAAATGGGAGAAGAAGAATAAAATTGTTTACCCTCCACAGCTGCCTGGAGAGCCTCGGAGACCAGCAGTAGGTTTGTGGGTAGAACTGACCCTTAATTTTGGCAAGGGCTCGTATTTATTTATCTATTTAGCTTTTCTTTACTTTTTTGGGTTTTATTTTTTTTTAAGGGGGAAGGGTTACTGTTCTTCAGCTTTTCTGCTCAAGGCTGGAGCTCTTACCACCTGAGCCATACAGCTCCAGTCTCAATAGCTACAACTTTAAACAGAAGATAAAGTCTAATCAGCTTGTTTATTTGTTTATTTATTTTGGAGTTTGTCATGGGGCCTGAACTCTGAGCCTGTGTACTGTCCCTGAGTTTTCAACTCAAGGCACGCACTCTACTTCTTCAGCCACAGAGCCACTTCAGTTTTGTGGTGGTTTATTGGAGATATAGTATCTCATAGACTTTCCTGCCTGGGCTGGCTTTGAACCATGATCCTCAGATCTTATCCTCCTTAGTAGCTAGGATTACAGGCGTGAGGCACTGGCACCCAGCTCAGCTAATTGTTTTTAAGGTTCTTTCTTCTAAATCTTTTTACTATTCCTGTGGATAGAAATGTTGCACCTGTTGGCACAAATTAGCTGTTTCATGGTTTCTGTTTCTTCCTTAGTAAACTTATAGTAAGACTTAAAAATACAACGTCATTGAGGTTGGAGATGTGACTCAGATGGTAAAGTGCTATCCAATGAGCAAAAGCATCACGTAATGAGATTGAGTCCCAGTCTTGGATTAACAAACAAAACAAAAGCAATAAAAAACTCACAACTTTGTCAGGGAAAAAAAGTCTCCAAATATTTCATAGTGTTTTTATTTTATGTGGCAGCATTATTCATTAGGAATTTTGGCAAGTTACTAAAGTTGGCTTGCTTTTCTTTTCCCGTCCTTTTTGCTTTAAGGAAATCTACCACTGTCGAAGACAAATTAAATACAGCAAAGACAAGATGTGGTATCTGGCAAAATTGGTAAGGTAGAATGATTTATTATATAATTCTAAGAAAAATTATAAATTGTACCAGCATGTAATTATATATGTTCAAATAATTAGTGGATTATAAAAATATTATTTTCCAATACAAATATGATTTTGCTTTTTTTTTTTTTCCCAGTCCTGGTCTTGAACTCGGCCTATGCACTGTTCATGAGCTTCTTTAGCTCAAGGTTAATTTAGTGCTCTACCACTGAGTCACAGCGCCACTTCCAGCTTTTTCTGTGTATGTGTTACTGAGGAATGGAACCCAGAGCTTCATGCATACTAGGCAAGCACTCTACCACTAAGCCACTTTCCCAGCCCTCTCACTTTCTTTTTGCTCAAGCCTGGTGCTCTACCACTTGAGCCACAGCTCCACTTCTGGCTTTTTGGTCATTAATTGGAGATAAGAATCTCATGGACTTAACATCCTGGGCTGGCTTAAACCTAGCTCCTAATATTTTAGCCTCCTGGGTAGCTAGGATTAGAGGCATGAGCCACTGGCACCTGGCAAGAGATATTTAAGAGTAATCAGGAGTCTGGCTATACCCAGAAAATCTAGAAGGCTTATTTATCTGTCAAAGTTAATTCAACCTATTTTAGAGTTTTCTTTTTGTACCCTCCTTAGAAAGGGAAGTTAATAGATGAAGAGAGAGAAAAGCAGGAAACATAAATGCACTCCATGTATTTATTCTACAAGAAGAGGTGCTTTAAGTACTAGTGTACTTGCTGATAGCCTGTGATAGCTCTTAGTCATGTTTGTGCTCTTTAAATATTAGTGAAATTATTCTAGGTTTTATGTTTATTTTATTTTTTATTTTTTGTTGGTTGTGGGGCTTGAACTCTAGACCTGGGCACTGTCCCTGAGCTCAGCTCAAGGCAAGCACTCTATCACTTGAGCTACAGCTCTACTTCCAGTTTTCTGGTTGTTAATTGGAGATAAAAAGTTTCACAGACTTTCCTGCCTGGGCTGTCTTTGAACCACAATCCTCAAATCTTATCCTGAGTAGCTAGGATTATAGGTGTGAGCCACTGGCACCCGGCTAGGTTTTAAATGTCTGATTAAAAAATTACAATTATGGGGCTGGGAAGGTGGCTCAGTGGTAGAGAGCTTGCCTTGCATGCATGAAGCCCTGGGTTTGATTCCTCAGTACCACATAAGCCAAAAAAAAAAAAAAAAGCCGGAAGTGGCGCTGTAGCTCAAGTGGTAGAGCGCTCGCCTTGAGCTGGAGAGCTGAGGGACAGTGCCCAGGCCCAGAGTTCAGGCCCCACAACCAACTACACCCCCCCCAAAAAAATATTACTATTATTATTTATTTATTTCTAGTATTGATACTGGGGCTTGCCTGAGTGGCTTTCCCCTACTTTTTCATTCAAGCCTGCTACTCTGCCACTTGAGCCAGAGCTCCACTTCTGGCTTTTTGCTTGTTAATTGGAGATAAGAGTCTCATGGACATTTCTGTGTAGGCTGGCTTTAAGCCATGATTCTCAGATCTCAGCTTCCTGAATAACTAGGATTACAGGCTTGCTGCACAGATCCACAGCAAAATAATATTCTCTTACCTTACATTAGTTAATACTGGGGAGGATTTCACAGTTACATTTCCACATGTTCTAATCAGTCTTACCCTACCTATTAGTAACCCCAAATGTTTGCTTTTTAACTTGAATAAGATGGTATCTCTTGTGAAACTTGGGTGTTTTTTGCTTGGGTTTAATTCATTGATCAGACCTTAGATTGTGGAAGAGCTTTACTTTTTGTTGGCGAAGGAACGTTTTATTTGTAGATGAGTTTGTTTATTGACTCTTTTGTCTGTCAACCTTTAATTCTAGATACGAGGAATGTCTATTGACCAGGCTCTGGCTCAGTTGGAATTCAGTGATAAAAAAGGCGCCCAAATAATTAAAGAGGTAATAAGCTTGTAAGATGTGGGGGTTGAGGGAGACAGGCATATACAGCTACCTTGCAAGTGTTAATAAGCTCAGTCTGAATCGTGAATTCTATATTTTTTGGTGGTAATGTACACTGTGCCTTAACCATTGTTATTTGAGAAGGAAGTTCATGGAATACTCTTCTTCAGAACTTTTATCATTTGACAATCACTTTAAAAAGTGGTTACAAGATGGTCTCATGCCTGTAATCCTAACTATTCCGGAGGCTGATATCTGAGGAGAGGGTCTCAGTTTGAAGCCAGGCTGAACAGGAAATTTCATGAGACTCTTACCTCCATTAACGTAAAAAAAAATCAGAAGTGGAGCTGTGGCTTAAGGAGTAGAATGCTAACCTTGAGCAAAAGAAGCTCAGGGGCAGTGCCCAGGCCCTGAGTTCAAGGCCCAAGACTGGCCAAAAGAAAAAAAAAAAATATTACAGAGATCACAAGAGATGAGCTATTTAATTCTGTTCTTGTTCAGCAGTGGAGAATGTCATTCTTTTCCTTGTTTAAGGTTCTCTTAGAAGCACAAGATATGGCAGTGAGAGACCACAATGTGGAATTCAGATCCAATTTATATATCGGTAAGATTTTTAATTACTGGGAAATGTTTCTGTGGCCACACCATGTTCTTTTTATGCAGCAATAGTCTTTGACATCTAACTACTGAGCTTGTCAGTGAAAATTGCTGGCCAATGGCTTAGTATTTTGGCTTTGAGCATATCAATGGTGATTTGTTTGATGAGTAATAATGATTGTGATCGTTTATTTTAATTGTGCCTTTTCTGTAATGAAACTGAGATAGAAATAAAGGAAATGTCTTGCCAATAATTATTATAGAAATGGATTCCAACAATGGTACATAGAGTAATCTTTTTTTCTTTTGGTCGGTCATGAGGCTTGAACTCTGGGCCTGGGTGCTGTCCTTTAGCTCTTCAGCTCAAGATGAGCACTCTACCACTTGAGCTACAGCACTACTTCTTATTTTCTAAGTGGTTTATTGCAGATAAGAGTCTCATGGCCTTTCCTGGCCTTTCCTGCCCACGCTGGCTTTGAACCCCAATCTTCAGATCTCCTCCTCTTGAATAGCTAGGATTACAGGCGTGAGCCACCGATGCCTGGCTCTTTTTTTTTTTTTTTTGGCCAGTGTTGGGGCTTAACCTCAGGGCCTGGGTTCTGTCCCTGAGCTTCTTTTTGCTCAAGGATCTACCACTGCCCTGGCTGGCTTTGAACTAGGATCTTTAGATCTCAGCCTCCTGAGTAGCTAAAATTACAGGCATGAGCCACTGGTCCCCATGTAGAGTAATCTTTTAGTCATAGTAACACTATGATTTAAAAGGTCGTAGATAAAAATAAGTTATTTCCTTTCTTAATAAAACTACTGGGGAAAAAGAAAAAAGAAAACTACAAGAAAATAAAACAAATAGTTAACTGGCAGAGGTAAATAAAGGTCTCATATTGACTTAAACTGTATTTATAATATGCCGAGTCGGGTACTTAATCCTTCCAATGACCAGTATGGAAGATAAATTACTGTGGGAGTGAAGGGCTTTGAAAGGCTCCCCTGACTGGGATGGGTGTATGGTTAAGACTTACCTGCATCTGTGCGTCTGCTCTGGCGCATGCGTCTCCATCAGGCTAAATGCATGACGAGAGCACTTGTGAAGCCTGATGTGCTGTCTGAATCTGGGCACATGTACGGCATGGCTTCACAGTCATTTCCTAGGGGGAGACCAGCCTTCAACCCCTACCACCTCAGCACCACAGTCACTGGAGCAGTGGTTGTGATTTCTTTCCTCTCACTTCAGCATCTGCTCCTAATCACAGTGTTGTAATCAAAGATGTCAGAAGAGAAGTTTCTCAAACGCACATAGGAGAACTACCTGAAGATATTTTTTTTTTGGGGTCCGGTCGTGGGGCCTGAACTCTAGGCCTGGGCACTGTCCCTCAGCTCTTCAGCTCAAGGCGAGTGCTCTACCACTTGAGCCACAGCACCACTTCCGGCCTTTTTTTTTTCCTGCTTATGTGGTGCTGAGGAATCGAACCCAGGACCTCACGTATGCAAGGCAAGCGCTCTACCACTGAGCCACCTTTCCAGCCCCCCTCTAAACCTTTTCAAAACATGTCTTGAAATTCTTTTTCAGTATAGTTAAGGTAGTTACAGAGCTTAATCCTGTCTTTCCAAGTGAAGGAACAAAGAGTCTAGGGTTGCTGTTAAGCAAAAATTCCCCTAATCAATCCTACATTATTAACTCCTTGTGAATTAAGAGATCTCCTGATGCACTTTTCAGGTAAAAAATCTGTACCCACTCAAACTCGGTTTTGTCTAAGAATAACATTTCATACATAGGGCTAATAAGTTTGCATAGCAGGTTTTTTTGTGTGCTGGTCCTGGGGCTTGAAGTCAGAGCCTGGGTGCTAACTCTTAACGTTTTTCATTCAAGGCTGATGCTCTACCACATAAGCCACAACTCCACTTCTGCCCACGCTGGCTTTGAACTGAGATTCTCAAATTATCAGCCTCCCAAGTAGCTGGAATTATAGGCATGAGCCTTGGGTGCCTGGTTGGAGTTCATAAATAAGTCCTGATTTCATTCAGCCCTTAGGGTGACCATGTCTGTGAACTTTCCATTACTGTAACCAATATTCAAAGCACCTCAGCTTAGAGACGTAAAGGTTTATGGGGCCTTGCAGCTTTGGAGGTTTTGGCTGATAGTTAATTCTCTTCTTCCCTGCACAGCTGCGTCCAACTCAGGGAGAGGCCAGTGCCTGAAACGCATTCGCTACCACGGCAGAGGTCGCTGTGGCATCATGGAGAAGGTGTACTGCCATTACTTTGTGAAGCTGGTGGAAGGGCCCCCACCTCCACGCGAGGCCCCCAAGACAGCCCTGGCCCACGCCCAGGAGTACATCCAGCAGCTTCGAAACCGTACCATCATTCACGCTCTGTGACAGGCTCAGACTGGCAGTGTAGATATCTTTAAAAATAAAAGTTAAAGACAAATACTTTTGATGGTTTGTCATTGAATTTTTGGCTTGCAATATGTAACTGAGTTTGATGTGAGTACTGTATAAGGCTTGTCTATCTGCAGCCCCTGGCAAGTGTGTGTGTGTGTGTGTGTGTATGTGTGTGTGTGTGTGTGTGTGTGTGAGAGAGAGAGAGAGAGAGAAGCTTTAGACACTGGAACAAGCTAGCATGCAGCAGGCATTTGTAATATGTTTTGAAGGGAATGTGAACTTTCTCACTGGTGTCCTAACCATGGTAGCTCTGGTACAGGCCTTGAACGCTGTAGGATAGATAAGAAGCTTGTCCTAATTTCACTGTTCTCTTGGGACCAGGGGAGCTGTGGTGGAGGGGAGCATGGCTTCGTGGTGTTTTCAGTGTAAGAATTTCAAGGCATTTGGCTGATTTTCCTTTGACTATTGACATAGACTACTGTGTGAGGGTTCTTGTTTTTCTTTGTTGTTTTAGCAGCAGCTTGAAATCAGGAGTTACTAAATATCCTAATCTAAAATTCTAAAAATGCTTTAACTTTGAAAGCTTTCTTCTAGTGAAGTAAAGCCTGTCTTTATGTCTTTGAAAGCTTTCTTCTAGTGAAGTAAAGCCTGTCTTATGTCTTTCCCATCTTCAGTTATTTATATATCTTCTTTTTTTTTGGCCAGTCCTGAGGCTTGAACTCTGGCCCTGGGCATTTTCCCTGAGCTTCTTTTGCTCAAGGCTAGTACTCTACAACTTAAGCCATGCCACTTGTGTTTTTTTCTGTTTATATGGTACTGAGGAATCAAACCTAGGGCTTCATGCATGCTAGGCAAGCATTCTACCATGAAGCCACCATTCCCAGCCTTATAGATCTTCGTTAGGATTGGTTTAAATTTTAAGGTAAATTCAATTACGGATAGAGAACTTAAACCAACCTCCGAGCTGCATTCTAAAATAGGGCAGTAGGTGGTGCTGTACACCTCATTAAGAAAATTTTGAGTCTCCAGTGTTCAACACTACCTGATAACTATTGATGCACTTTTTCATTGACAAGAAGCACTTAGTCCCCAGTCCTAGTCTGATGTGTTTTAAAGTGTTGTATACCAAGGAAGAATCTGGGGTCCTTCTTTACTAAAGCAGACTGGGCCCTATTTCAGTGCTTAGGGGCCTTGGGAAGGCTAATTCCAGAGATCTGTGTGATACACAGGCTCTTCCAGGTGCTCTATAGCAGAGGATGCACTCCTAGATGGTTTGTGAAGGAGAATGAAGGGTGGGTTTTGAGGGGAATGTGTTAATTTGTCATTAGACAGATCTGCTACTTACAGGATCCTCATTACTTGCCATGCTAGTTATTTTATGGAATTCTTCACAAGAATTAAGTGTTGTTTTTCCACGTTACAGAGGAAGAAACGGAGGTGTACAAAATTCTAGTAACATCACAGAGCCGCATAGCATGAAAGTAGTGGCACTATGATATAACTGGTTCTGAATTTCTAATTGAGGTTCTTTGTGTGCCTTCAATTCCATTTTTTGTGGGTTAAAAGGCTTCAGGAAGGAATAAGCCAGACTTTAGGATAGGTTCCTTTTGGAATCAGGGAAATAACTCTGGAAGGGTAAAAGGGAACCTTGGTTCTAATCCTTCCATGCTCCTTAAGAGAGAAGTCTCTGAAAGGTCCCTTTCCCTTGCTGGCATTTCATTTCACTTGGCGAACAAAGTTCAGTGTTCTTTGAAGTCAGCTTTTGGGATCACTGGGAGAGCCAGGTGTGGTGGCATACACCTATAATACCAGCATTTGGAAAACAGATCGGGAGATGGAGAACTTGGGCAGCATGGTGATACCTACTCTCAAAAAGAAAAGAGGAATTAAAGAAATATGTTTAAGAAATGCACATTTCTGAATCCTGCTCTCAGACGAAGTAAACAAAAATATCTGGGGTGGGGAGACAGCCTGTCTTCCTTCCTTCCCAACTGCCGCAGTGATTGGCGTGTTGGAGGATTCACTGGACTAGACGATCTCAGCTCTCCTTCAGCACAGAGGCTTCCTGACTCTCGGCAGCAAGAGTTTCGATGTCGCTGGTTGTTGAAATAAGCCAGGAGATGGCACGAACATCCTAACTGCATTTCATAAGTGAAGATACTGATGCATTCAGGCTCTGGAGACTTTTGAAAGCAGGTAAGGAAAAAAAGAAAAACGGACCTTGAACTTTTTTGTTTTCCGTTTTTCCTTTTGGTGCTACAGATGGAACCCAGGACCTTGTGAATGCAGAGCATGTCAGTTGCGCTGTCCCCAAGTGACACCTCCAACTCCTGATCCTGGATTCCAATGAAGACCAGTTGCGTATGAGCTGCGTTAGAAGAAGGAATGATTGATTTGGCTCACAGCTTCATAGGTTTCAGTTCATGATGGCATAGAAGGCCACATCATGGGCCGGAAGCGAAATAGAATGGTAACAGGAAGAGACGAGGGCAAGATTACACCCTTAAGGACACACCTCCTGTGGCCTTCCTCCAACCAGGCCCTACTTCCTATATGTCCACCACTTACCACTTGGCTATTCAAAGTTTGACTCCATCAGTGCATGGAACCATTCATTTATAGTTCAGAACCCTAAGAATGCAGTTATCCCCTAAAATGGCCTCATAAACACACACCCAGACAGGTGTGCTGTGCTAATCTATGTGGTTTATTGGTCCAGTCAAGTTAGTGGTTGAGATTAACCATCACAGTTAAGTCTTCCTTTGGAACTCCTGAGGTGTTGTAAAGTGTAATAATTACTTGTATTGTTTTAAGCACTTTATGTATAGTATCGTATTTAATGAATCTTCCCTACAGTAATGGTGGTATAGAGAACATCTGGTTAGTTTTTATGGTTGAATGCACTTCTTTTTTTTTTTGGTCGGTGGTGGGCCTTGAACTCTGGGCCTGAGTGCTGTCCCTCAGCGCTTTAGCTCAAGTCTAGTGCTCTACCACTTGAGCTACAGCGCCACTTCCGGTTTTCTGGTGGTTTATTGGAGATAAGAGTTTCACGGACTTGGGGCTGGGAAGGTGGCTCAGTGGTAGAGCGCTTGCCTTGCATGCATGAGGCCCTGGGTTCGATTCCTCAGCACCACATAAGCAGAAAGAAAAAAGCCAGAAGTGGCGCTGTGGCTAAAGTGGTAGAGTGCTAGTCTTGAGCTGAAGAGCTGAGGGTAGCCCCCAGGCCCAGAGTTCAGGTCCCACGACCAGACCAAAAAACAAAACAAACCTCCAAACAACAACAACAACAAAAAAGAGTTTCATAGACTTTCCTGCCTGGGCTGGCTTTGAACTGCGATCCTCAGATCTCAGCCTCCTGAGTAGCTAGGATTACAGGCGTGAGCCACTGGTGCCTGACCTCTGCCTTGATATTAACACAGCCCAGTACTGATACCTCTTGCCTGTAATCCTAGGAACTGAGGAGGCTGAAACCTGGGGCTGGAGGTTTGAAGCCAGCCCAGGCAGCTATATCCTAGATATTCATTTCCCATTAACCAGAAAAAAGTCAGAAGTAAAGTATGGTTCAAGTGATAGAACACCAGCCTTAAGTGAAAAAAATGAAGCTTGATTTCAAGCCTGATTTCAAGCTCCAGTACCTACACCAAAATAATAATAATAATAATACTGCCCAGTGGAAAGGGACAGTAAATGAATCAAGAAAGTGTTAATTGTGTTTCCAGTTACAAACTCAGAGGGACTGGAGACTGGAGGCAGGTATCACAGGGTCCTGAAAAATAATGACTGTTTTTTTTTTGTTTGTCTTGTTTTATTTCCTTAAAGAGACACAATGAGAGGAAAAGGTAAAAATAGGATTTTTTAAGGATCAATAAGTTGTTATACCACTTGAGAGGAATTTTTTTAATGATATAAACATGAAGGACCTCTTCTTTCCTCCTGAAGATCTTGGTGGGCAGGCCGGGCATTGGTGGCTCACACCTGTAATCCTAACTACTCAGGAGGGTGACATCTGAGGATCAAGGTTCAAAGCTAGCCCGGGCAGACAGTTTAGCAGCAAAAAGTCAGAAATGGAGGTTTAGCTCAAGAGTCAAGGTGCAAGCCTTGAGTAAAAAAGCTAAGGGAAAATGGGAAGGGCCTGAGTTCAAGCCCCAGTCCTGGCACAAAAAAGGTCTGTGTCTTCTGTGGGGTGCAGTGAACGGTATGTTGTATTTCTGGAGCTGAGATTCAGCAAACTTTATACAAGGGTCAGCAGCTAAGACCCAAGGGGGAAAAACGTGTGAAATATACCAAGAACATTGCAACCCCCCCCCCAAAAAAAAAAAAAACCCAGATATGTTTCCTGGCAAGTGATAAAGAGTAATTCGATGTTTTCCACGTATTTCTTCTCTACAAAGCAGTGGTAATAACAATTAGAGTTGAATAAGATGGGCTCCATCACACTGAAGATAGTTAAAACAGGACATAGTTGTGAAGTAGGTGAACATCTAAGCAAATTTTAAAGCCATAGAAAGTGGCACAGGTGACATTACCACTTCTAGAAATGGACCCCACGCCTCTGTCCTAGGTTATACTTATCCAGGATCTGATTTCTAGTTGAGAGAGGATCTGGTCTTCTTAAACTAGCCTACTGTGAGTTTTTAAATGCCTCATTTAGAATATATCTGCTATGATATTACAATACTTTGAACGAGAGAGGAAATATTGGTAGGTGAATTATACTTCATACTTAAATGATTTTTTTCCCCATTAGAGACTTGAATGAATCATTGTGTTCGCTTATGGGAGAAGGAGGTTCATAAAAATTTCACATCGGAAAGCCAGGGATGGTAATCCTGTTATCCAACAAAGTGGAATTTAAGAAAAAAGATTTACTGTTAATGAACTTGAAAGAGTTGCTTAATGTACACATGGATGAATACATTCTGGAGTCAATTTGAGCGATCTTATAAACCTCCTGAAGATCACCCCGATGTTTAATATTGAAGTCTATTCTTGCTGCTTTTGTTCACTGTCTCTTTGCAGTGTGACTCTGCAGGTCCCCAAGCTACATG